TTCACATTACTATCCAAGAAAAAGTCATGTTTTATTTTACCTTATCGAAGGATCACTCTGTGCAGACTCATGGAAATAGAGCCAAACAATGAATTATGCAAACTGACAGTGCTCAATCTTTCCAAATAGAAAGCTTTCTATTTTTATCCTCATGGCAGAGGCAGGGTCTCCTCTTGCCATACAACAGGACCTAAGTGTACACAATCTTCTATTCTCAGGCAGTATCAGAAGTGGAAACCTCTGTGCTTCTTAGCATATACAATATCCCGACTTGGATCAGAGGAGTCCTCGGGGAAGGGCTGGAAGCTGGCTACCATCATTATATTGCCTGTTGCCTCCTGAAGCCAGGCAGATGTCCAAAAGAGTCTACAGTCTGGGAGGTTCTGTGGGTCCCACAGACCCAACCATCCAAAAACCTACATGCAACAGCAGAGTGAGGGTCAGTCAGGTATTCCCCAGGCCTCAGAGTTAGAGATCATAAAGTATGCTTATGATCCATGAACCAACATCAGACGTTTCTTACCTTCCTGCCTACAGACAGCTTCATATCTCTTTCACTTTGGAGATAGCCAACAATAGGTGATCCTATCCTACAGATAGGTGGGTTGCTTACTAACATCAACAATACCTAAAGAAAACAAAAATAGAAGCTGAGAGAGAAGCTTTGTAGCACCTTGCAATGCAGAGGCCTGCAGAAGGCAACTTTTATGCTCAGAGTACCACACATTTGTTCTTTGGCACCAAGAAATATTTTTGTCGAGTTGTGTTCTACTAGTTACAACTTCTATTTGCTTAATTTTAAGCTCTCTAGAATGCCTCTTATAAGACCAAAGCTTTTAAGCATGGTGCTCATACTTGCCATCAGTTATCTGTAAGTTCCATATTAATTCACTGTTCTGAAAAAAAATTATTCTCACATATTGCAAGTTGCTTTGAAATCAAAACAAATCACTTGGAAGAAACTGAGATCCAACAATACAGAACTCTAAGCAGCACACAGTTAGCAAGTTACAAAAAGCAGGGAAAGCAATGCTTTAACAAGTATTTAGCCCCCGAATTACTTGAAAAAATTAAGCATAATGCTCAGGTTCTTCCCTCCCCCATTATTTCAAGATTTGCTCCTTCATATAGCAAAAATACCTTATGAAATAAATTGTCCTAAGAACTACCAAACTCTAACAGTGCAGTTCATTCTTCTTGTTTCCTTGACACAGCAAACTTGGTCAAACTGTGCTTCTGGGCAGCACTACACATCTAATAATGAAGTTTCTATTTATATAATTTCTCACTTGCACCTTCTCTGAAATATTGGCTTCCAGCACAAGAATGGGAGGTCACCAGTGTATGAAATAACTGAACTCCTTCCTTGAGGGTGGTGATCTGGAACCTGAGCAAAAGGTTGCCCAAAACATTATTCCCAGTCATAATGAATAGCTACATAAAGTCACTAGATAAGGTAAAGATTAACAGGGATAAGGACAGCCATTCAGAAACATCTGGGCTTGTGACAACCTTCACTGCAGATTTACACTTTTAGCTGATTGCATGAAGGGGACTTGCAGTTCATGACTGCTCCTATCCTTCACTGATACAAGCTGCTCTCCACAAAGTGGTTGCTTCTGAAGACTGCTGCCCTTTCCATCAAGCTAGGAGGTCCTAAACTATGAAGTACTGCAGTAAATCTGAACATGCTCTATTAGTTTATAAAATATGCTTAGATGCTGTGCTTGAATTTTTAACAAGTCCTCAGCCTTTATTGTAGACAGCACTAAGATACTGATAATCTACCATTTAAACAAACATTTAGGGGGACAGGTTTTCTGCTTCAATTTATCAAATACTGGTTACAGGATTAGCAACTGAAAGCAGAATCTGTTGATATGTTGAACCAGCCTTTAACAACAGTAGCTCTTGTCAAAAAGGTACAAAGAAAACACTTCCCTCATTTCAGTTTATTCAGCTAGTTCAACAACCCAGAGATAAAAGTCATATTTATTAAAGAAAAAACAACCTGTCAAAAGGTCCAAGTGTTTCATGAGCACAAATCAAGCATTTGTTTTCCCAACCAACTAGCACCAACACCTTATTAAGGTCACATTAAATACAGGCTTTTCTCAAAATATTTATACTTTAGCTTAACTAGAAGCCTTTGTACTTCCCTTCCAGTTCCTACCCTCAAACCACACCTCAAGTGGAAGAAATTTCCCCAACTCCTTGCCACAAAGTTTAAAAAAAGTTACAGATTGCATATTTCTAATCCTGCTTACCTAATCTTAGGAAACTAAAAAAACAAAACAAGATTAAGCTAAATATTTCAAGTCAAGAAATCAGAAAAACAAATCAGATGCTGATCTAAACTAGTGCTCACCTTGCATATACTATGAATATATCATAAAGGTCACCCCAGAAGATTAATATCCAACTTTATTTTATTTCTAAATGATTCAGCAAGCCAAGTCTAACACATCTAAAAGTTTGCCTGAAGGCCCAATACAAAGTAAGTCAACATCACTTCTTGGGACCACAGGACTCCTTCTCCCTAGTGACAGAACAAGGGTCTAAAAATCACTTTTCAGAATCTAAGATGAATAACCAAAGACCAAATACTACCAAAACAAAACCCACCATGAGCAGCTCCCCATGGAGGGAAAGCGAGACAGAGACAACATATGAGAGACTTCAGTCATGATGCTTGAAGAGAATTCCTCTCCTGTGCAGGGGTGAAGGCATCACGAGACCTTCATCTCCCACTCTCAAAATAAGCATCACAGGACTGGTCAGAAGGATTTACAAAAAAGGTACAACATTTCAAGGACATAAAATACCAAAAGAGATATCACATTCATAATACTGAGGTAAGGCAACTGGCAACCTTGCCTAAAGTCTACACTTGTTAATGCACATTCCCAGATTATTTCATAGATTGTTCTAACTTCTTTCCAAGAACAATTACATACACATAGTTCCCAAGCAAAAATATTTTGATCCATTGTGATTTCTTTGGAAAAAAGTGGATGAGTAATGTAAGTGCAGGAAGAGGCTGTCAAACCATTCAGATGTAAAAATGGCCCAATTACCAACCCAAGACTAGAGCAACTTCCAGAATAAGTAATAATGGAGGCGAGTCTAAGAATATACCTATCACACCTACAGGAGCATGTCCACCAACTCATTACAAAACGCAAGCCTTGTGCCAAAGCCTTCCCTTCCTTCTAAATAATGAAGCCAAACAGAAGACAAATCTATTATTCCACATGCTACAAGTTAATTCTGGGTTTGTGTAACAAAGCTCTTAAACCTTGACCCAGCATTGTGGTTGAAGCCCATCTGGAAACAAAGCACCAAACAGTCCCTTGCTCAAACCCCCCCATCCCACTGTGTTGGAATGGGGAGGAGAATCAAAGTAAAACTTGTAGGTTGAGATAAGAACAGTTTAATTGAAAAGAAAGTCAAATACAGTAATCATGGTAAATTATGATAAGAACGATAATAAAACAGGAAAAAACAAGTGATGCACAATACATTTGCTCACCACCCACTGACTGATGCCAGACACCCCCCCTTCCTGAACCCAGATTGGCCACCCTTCTGGGTAACTCCTCACAGTTTATATACTGGCCATGACATTCTAAGGTATGGAATACTCCTTTGGTCATTTTGGGTCACCTGTCTCAGCTGTGCTCCCTCTCAGTTTCTTTTGTGAACCTCTTCACTGGCAGAGCATAAGACAAGGAAAAAGAGTCCTTAAGATAAACACAACTTTGCAAAAAACCTAACACACTGGTGTCTTATTAACACCATTCTCATTCTGAATCCAAAAGACAGCACTGTAACAGCTACTAAGAAGAAATTAACTCCATCCCAGTTGAATCCAGGACACTCAGAGAGGCCAAGATGCATGCCAGCCAAGCAAAGAAATTATCCCAAAATTTATTTCTGTTTGACAGAAATCAAAGGGCATGAAGCGAGAGACACAGGAGCCACTACTAAAACAATAACTCCTGGGAGAAGGGAGCTGAAGGGGACATTATTTTGCTAGAGACCAAGCAGACATCAAGTGGAAAGGGGTCTGCCCGATGCAACAGATCTTCTGCAGGCACTGTGGCTTTTCAATTACTTTCTTAAAGAAAAATAATGAAATTCCTTCTCCAATTGTTTTGAGAATTTAAGTTCTCCCCCTTTTCTGGGGCAGCAGTGCCAGATTTCTTGCTCACCGTATTTACAAGAGAACCACAAACGCATTTTTGGATTAACAGGAAGACTCAGAGACAAATGCTTTTAATTTATCTACCTTCACCAATTACGTGTTGCTGTAACTCTTTGAAGGCTGCCTTCTAGAAATTTGGAGAGGAAGAAAAGGAAACCAGAGGGAAAAAAAAAATCATGAAAAACAGTCATGAAGTCCACGGAGTTTTGAAAAAAAAAAAAAAACAAAACCTCACAGCTTTTATCTTGAGTTAGTCATCCTACACAGGATGCTCCTACATGACAAAGCTATCAAGGGAAGCCCCTTTGAAATAAACACACACAGACTAGAGCCAAGAGAACAAACTTAGGGTTGAAAGGGAAGAATTTGCTCTCTGCCATGAGGTACCTGCGTTTCTTTGGGGTTAAAATTGAGAAATAACAGAACAGAGACAGATGTAACACGGCCTCCTATTCCCAGAGGGCATCCTAAGAGAAGAGGCCCTGCAGGCACCCAGCCAGCCTGCCCTGCAGATCGTCCCCGCGCCGCTGGCAGCGGGCGGGGAAGACCAGCTCGCAGGGCACTATCTACGGGAGCCGAGCCCTGCCTTCCCTCCTCCTGTAGGCCCCGGCCCTCTCCCGCGGAGGGTGGTGGAGCTGACAGTGACCGCAAGCCCGCCGCGGCCCCTCCGAACCCGACAAAGAGGCCCGGCAGGCAGCGAGGGAAATGGTGCAGGCCCCAGCGGCAGCTCGCCGGGACTTCGGCGGCGGCGGCGGGAGGCCCGGTCCGCCGGCGGAGCAGGGAAAAGCCGTACCTTGAAGTAACCGCCCTCGTAGAGGGTGTTGGGGGGCCCGAAGATCGCCACCTCCCAGTTGTAGAGGTCGGACTCGTCGACCAGGGTGATGCGGAAGCCCTCCACCGGCTCCTCCTGCAGCGACTTCAGCTCCAGCATCAGCGCTTTCTGTGAACTGCTCATCTGCTGCTGGGCCATGGCGCGGCGCGGCCCCCGCCGCCCAGGCTGCTGCTGCCGCTGCCCCGCCGCCGTCGCGCTGCCCGACAGACCCCCCCGCCCGGCGCTGACAGCCGTCGCCGCCGCCACTTCCTTTTGTGACGGCGCCCACTGGCATCTGACCTCAGCGCGGCGCGCTGCGCCGCACCACGCTACGCCCTGCCGCACGGCAAGCCCCACCCCACCACACGACAAGCCCCGCCCCGCCTTTACCGGCACACTTAAAGGGGCGGCGCTCTCCGCCACACCGTTTGTGGAATGCATAGGTGTGTGGTTCCTGGCGTTGCATCAGTCCTTACGGGGCAGGTCCACATGTCGTGTAAAGCGGAAGAAAAGCTGGGTGGAGAGCTATGAGTGGGATGGAGAGAGTGGTTTTCTGTGAGGGTCATGGGTGGGGCACGGCCAGTCCGTGCTGCTGCACTGATAGACATTCACGGTCAATAAAAGAGCAGCTTTTGTAGAAAGGATGGGTTTTGAGGAGCGACCTTGCATGACCCATGGTCCCCTAAAAATCCTGCAGCAACCCCCAAGCAGCAGTGTGTCAAGAAAATTAATCCATAAGCACCAGAGGTTTATGTCCAAAAAGGAGAGAGACAAGTCCTGTAACTTTATTTGAATAAAGGAAGAGGCCATGGGGCATTTCCCCTGGGGTCCGTCAAAATTTTTAGGGGACGCAGCCTTCTTTTTATCCTAATTTCTCGGCCACATTTCCCTCTCTCTTTCCCCATTGGCTGAGGTACTTGAGAAGTACAGACTTCCAAAAAAAGCCTAAGACCCCTTCTAATGTATGCAAACCCCCCCCCTTTTTTCTTTGTGTCTCTGTTCTTTTTCTCTAAATCCAGAGATTTAACACAGTCTTGAGTGCGTAAGAGTCTGTGTCAATTAGTGGAACAATTAGTGGAATTCATATGGAATTTATGGTTTCCCCCATTGCTTCTTTCACCTATCAGTATCTGGCCTTATCTACCATCAGGCCAACAGTTTGTATGTAAAGACACCTCCTTCTCATTCCTTTCAAGCAGGAGAGGAACTGGCAGTTATCTCTCTCCCACTGCTGTTGTTTTCACTTGGCTCCACGGATGTGTGAGGTTCTACAAGCAGAAAATACAGTTTCAATCTTTCCTTCCATTTTTTGATATGGTTAAGGGAGGAAAATGTTTGCAGAGTTGGCAAGGTACATCGACCTGTGAATGTGAGCAAGCACCTCAGACCATGCTTGTGATCTCCTATTCCTTATTCAGCCTTTAACAAGTGATATTATTTATTGTAAAAACTAAATAAGTTTATTTTTTAAAAAAATTATTATTCAGGAGGAGGACAAATAGCATAGCACAACCCCAGATGGTAAGACTCTGGGTTTCACTTCTGGAAATGTTAATTCATGCACCTGGCTTGGCAGCACAAAGGACCCCACAGCTGTATAAGAAATGTCTGGCATGGAAATGTAGTTGCAAGCTGGACATCTTATCTCAGCCAGGACAGGAGAAGTAATAAGGATGTAACTGCCCTGACAGAAAAGCTGATGCCTATTTCTTAATAAAAAATTAATGTGGTTCTAGCGGGATTAATTTAAATAACTAATAGGCTGTGATGAGTTCTAAACTAATTGTAATGTCCCCAAAATGTCAGAGTTATTTGAAGGAAATCTCTGTTGTCTGTGGACTTGCAGCCAAATAAAACTGGGGGTGAATAAAAGTGAAAATCACCTAATGCCTTAATATAAATCTGTGGCATTGGATTACATGGAGTCCAGGGATGAAATGGTAAAAGATCCTGAGATGCTGCTAATATAGAGAGGGATCGAGGAGTGTTTACTTTAGAAATTGCCACCCTGGAGTGAGCTCAGATTTACAGAAAGTTGCTTAATTTGCTCTCACATCCTCAGCCTGGGGGCTGGAGGGCTGGATCACATACACTTACATGGCTGAAATGCTGTTCGTTGGAGGAGCTCCTTAGCAAGCCAGGCTGTACTGCACTGGGTGTTTTTTTCTGGTAGGAGCTCAGACCCGTATTCTTTTTATTTATGTCAGAATAGAATAGAATAGAATAGAATAGAATAGTTCATTTGGAAGGGACCTATAACACTCATCTAGTCCAACTGCCTGACCACTTCAGGGCTGACCAAAAGTTAAAGCATTTTGATACCCAAATGCCTCAAACACTGACAGACATGGAGCATCAACCACCTCTCTAGGAAGCCTGTTCCAATGTTTGTCCACCTTCTCTGCATATAAATGCTTATGAATGTCAAGTCTAAACCTCCTCTGATGCAGTTTTGAACCATTCCCACAGATCCTGCTGTATATCAGGGAGAAGAGCTCATTACCTCCCTCTCCACTTCCCCTCCTCAGGAAGCTGCAGAGAGCCATGAGGTCACCCCTCAGCCTCTTTTTCTCCAAAGTAGACAAACCCAGAGCCTTCAGCAGATCCTTGTAGGACATTCCTTCCAGCCCTTTCACCAGCTTTGTTGCCTTCTCCTGGATGCATTCACATACTTTAACATCCTCCTTAAATTGTCTTGGGTTGATGGACATAATGTTTTGTCAATACAGGATCAGGTTGACTGGCAGGATATGTGGTCTGGGAGCTGTGCTCTTTGGTGCCAGGCTTCCTGGGTAGCAAGTACTTCCATCACCATTGTGTTTGACCAACCATCTCATCTGAACCACATCTGGAAGGGTTGCAGAGATGATGCTCTTAGCAGTGCTCTCTCCAGGAGAGAAAAAGCTCTTCACCTCTGCCCATCCAATTTGGCCCCATGACAGGGGTCAGTAATGAATCTTTGGCTTCATCTCTATTCTTCCCAATCCCAACATCTTGGTCCCAGCTTCCCACACTTCATTACTGCTCCCTGGTCCCCAAACCTTATCAACTCCATTCACACCTCCATCCCCACCTCCCAAATGCCCAAGTTTCACATCATGGCCACCATCATTCCCAAATGCCCCAACCCCAGCACCCACTTACAGCTGCCCCTCCACATGACCTGTTTCCATTACTAATGAGTCTAATAATGTGTCCAACCTGGAGGGCCATGCTGTGACCTTCCCCAGTTGACACCAGCCAGCAAGGACCTGATCCATTAATGCAGCATCTCAGCTCACACCATGATCAAACATGGTGTTACTCAAGATTGGAGGAAAATGTTGCGTTGATTCAATGTGCAGAAGCTGAGCCCTTTGGGGATTGCACTGCCCCTACTCCTATGGTAATTGAAACAACTTCCCTTGCAGCCAGCCTCCAGCGAAGGCTTTGTCTGAACCAGCCTAAGGCTGGGAAAGATGGGAGAAGCTAGGTTTAGAGCTATTTAGGACTTCTCCCTGCCTGCTGCCTGTCTCAAATGTTAATGAAAGAGGCAATCATGCAAGGCAGAAAGTAAAGCAAGCCCCGGTGTTTTCAATAGGGCAAGCTGAAAATTTTCCATCAAGTCTGCTTTTAGAGAGAGTATTGGTCTTTTTCCCCCAAAATTTTTTTCCCCCTCTCCTACAAAAACATCTGATGATCACAGAGAATAGAAACTGTCAAAGCAACAGAGCACTTTGAAGCCTGGGCAGCCCCCTCTGAGGTTCCTGCCTGCATTTCTGCCTGCACACCAGGGGAGACTCGGCTGCTCTGCCTGGTGTCCCCTTCCCCATGACCAGGCTGCCCTATGGCTGGCATAACTTTTTGACTTATTTGACATTTCCTCCTCCTAATCAGCACCAATATATCTCAATGAAAGGATGAAGCCTTGTCCTCCTCCTTTAGCTGGCCTCCCACAGATGGTCACTGCTCACCTGAAAGCAGGGTTCTTTGAGGTGTGTTCTGCATCAAAATGTAGAGTTGTTCTCTCTTCATCTCCTTTTTTTTTCCACCTGAAGGAATCAGTTTGTTATTTGGACTCAGAGAACAAGAAATTGGGTCTGGTGTAACCACAGGTGGCTCCAGGAAGAGGAAGTCTCGCTGGGAGAGTAATAGGCCACATGTGCCAGTAACCCCATCCTGGCAGCAGAACTTACCACTATAAACTGGACCTCAAGATGTCACCAGTGCTTGATGTAAATCAGAGATGAAAACTTCTCTTCAAATTCTTTCTGTTTTGTTCTTATAATCTATTTTTAAGATTTTTTTTCTTCTCTTTCCTCCTTCCTGCAAGCCATGTTCCTGAAGGATGACAAACTAAGAGTTAACTCCTCTGCTTATCAACAGCAGAAGCTTTGAAAATGTAAACACTGTCTTGGTGTCACATTAAAGGATTACTGCCCCATGAGCTGGCAGAGAGAGAGGACAAAAGGTGGGAAGATGGGGTAGGTCCCAAATATGCAACTCTGGTTTTGGGGCAAGATCATCTCACCCAATATTCTTCAGTGCTTTAGCCAATTTCTTTCCTGAGTGGCTCGAAGGATAAAATATCTGCTCCTTGCTCTAGGAAACAGGACTTGCCTGGGCTAAAAGATGACACCATCTCCTCTCCTGCTGCTTCCTCCCTGCTCCTCTGCTCTGCTAAAGCATCAGAAGGGATCTTAATGACTCTGAGCTGGACTTTAACACCATGTCACCCCTGGCACATCAGATGGATGCTCCTGTGATGGAAAAGATTAGGTAGGGAGTAGGAGCTCTGCTCATCTCCCCTGTGAACTGCTTACAGCCCCCTTCAGAGCCCCTTGGAACTCAAACCACAGACAGCTATTCCTTGGGCTGTACTGAAGCAGAGCAGGACACCTGGAGGTCTACCTCATTACCCTCCTGCCCCAAGGCAGTATCAGCTTGTCCTAAACAGACCAAGACATATTTGCCCAACCCATTCTTTAATATTTTTCCTTCAAACTGCCTGAAGTGGAAATTCACTTTCTCCTAGGTCAATGTGTCTCTGGGCTCAGCTCACCTCCCTGTTGGAGAGCTGTTATGTGTGTGTTCCCTGTGGAGCTCATCCTGTTTCTTCTTGTCCAGACGACTATGGGGATATGGAAGATAGAGAGAGGGGCCAGGATTATTTCCTCCAT